AACAGCGCATCAGTTGTGACTTGAAACATCTGGAGGCAGCCTGAGAACCTTCTAGCATACTGCTACGTAGAATAGTATCTATTTTCTTTCTGAGCTTCTGGCAATATTGAAATTAATGTCCAGTTCTTGAAAGGTCTCTGTGCATTTATGGGAAGGAAAATAAAATGTCAATATTGTCCATTAAAAATTAAGATGATTTTCCAAAACCAGTCTCATTCACCAAAACCAAGTGAAACATTGTGGTGGCACAAACTCGAAGGAACACTTAGTTATCTGATTTTCATATTTCATCACAACTCTTTGCTTTGTGGGGTTCCTCTTCAACTAAAATCAAAGTATTTTTCCCCTACTGAAGTTCCTTTCCTACATAATGAGCAGAAATCACAAAAGTCCATAACAAACATGGTATTCTGACTGAGATGCTGCCTAGCATTAAAATGGAACAATATACTTGATCAGATTAACACATTCATGAGATCTTTCACAAATTGCAAAGATGGTGACTTCTGAATTTATTTAAATGACAATTGCAACATACATATATTTGCGCCCCGGGCTTGCAAACCATTGCCATATTCTCTCCTAAAGCATTAGTGTTAATGATTTAATTACTATCAATATTTTCTCTTTCCCATCTTGAATTTTTTTCATTTTAATTATCAAAATTATCATGAAGACCATCTCTCATATAGTAGCTTAGACCACCAGAGGGATGCAAGGAGGGGTTTCTCCCTCATTTTCATAACCTCTCTTGAAAATCTTTAGGGCCTCTTCTCTTGTCATTTGATTTATTTGCCAGAAGAGAATCTCTCTAATCACAAAAGAAAACCACAGAGGCATTTTTTTTGAGAGTTTTATGCCTCTGTAAATAATTTTCAGGGAGGAATTTGTTGGGGAAGGGGGAAAAGAGGATAGAATTCATTAGACCAAGGACTGTGAAATGTATCAGAGGTTAAAGTAAAAAGCAAGGTGTTAAGTCTGCTGCTTCTTTCATGTGCACCAGCAGCTGTGAAGACTTGTGGGTCTGTGTCTTCATCCTGTAAGAAAATCCATATCCTGCTAAGTAGGGCCAAGCTGTAAGGGTCTCAGACTGGCTCCAGATATTAAAAGTTGCAACTGATTCCCAACTGGCTATTGAAGACCATCTCCGCTCGACACCATACCATCCACAATCCACATCCGAATCCACAACCCTTACCCAGGAGCTCCTTCTCCTGCAGCTCTTTCAAACCCCAAAATCTTTGATCTGGGCCCTGGCTCTACCCTCACACTTGAAAGCTGATGTTGCTTCCCAGAGGAGAAACTAGATGTCTTCCTGCATCCCCTGGACTTTGGTTGGTGCTGTACATGATCCTTGCTCGGGTCCTGACTTTCCAGCAAGAACAAATCAGGAAAAAAGACAGATGAAAGAGTGAAGTTGCAAGTCTCAACCTGACCATTCCCTTTGAGCAAGGTAGTTCCTGGGAAGCCTGTAATGCCCTCCCTTCCAAAACCCTGGGTACTTTTGACCAGGAGCATCTTCTGGCCCTGTGACATGCTGGGGTGAGCAGGGTCCCTCTGCAGTGCCCCCCGTGGTCACCCCACCTCAGTAGCCTGCTGGACCAATACAGTGAGCAGCCCCCACATAAAACAGGTCAGGCTTTCTGATGAGCTATGTGGGAGATTTGGACATGCAGTCACATTGAAACTGGCAGATGTTGGATATCGGTGCCCTCCAGAAGACTAGTAACCCCTCACCCTCTTCCTTTCCCATTGTAAATGAGCGGCCCAGCACCCCAGGCTGCAACCCCTTAATTGGCTACTGGAGAAGGAAACCAGGTGGCTTGCTGAGGCATTCCTCAATATCCCAAACTCATCCTCATTTCCTTTCATTTTGTCTCTACCTGTCACATTCTTTGCAGAGAAAGGAACGAATGCATTAGAGTGCAGTGAGCGGTCCCATCCAAGCATCCCACCCCTTGCTGCCTCCACGACTTTGCAGAGATTTCACTAAAAATGTGTAATTAGGTTCTGCAAAGTGATTGCCTGACCGCATGTGCTCTTTTCAAGTGCAGAAGCCCTTATGTAGTGGTGTGTGCTTTTCAGAGCTGCATCGAGTACCATTTCCTTTTTCTAGCTTTTGTTTACAAAGTTATATTTACTCATCTTCTTACCAGTGCCCAAGCACATCAAAGCCAAGTCCATTCCAAAAAATCCTAAAGCTCATGAACGATGTCACTTCCTGGCCTCAATTTTGCATATTCTGAAAAAGGTGTTACAGAAAATAACTATAGATAGGCTGTGTTGAAAAGGCTGTATTTGCACATGGCCTTAAGTATGTGTTTGTCTGTTCATCCTTTTACTAGTTTGCCAGAATATGTAAAGAAATTTCATCCTGAACATGGGTTGATTTAAATATGACCTGAAGTTCTCTGCTAACATAGGGTGTACCAAAGCTCCTTCTGTGCTGAATCTGTGCCAAAGTGCTTTTCAGATAAATTACGAATTAATGCCTCTCTTTAGCTTAAAGTGTTTTTCTTCTCTTTTGCCTATCTTCAAGTGTGGTCTGCTGGTCTAGATGTGGACTTCTTTTTTAAATCGCTATTGTGATGGTGGAAATGAATTGTTGAAGGGAAGCGTTCCTCAAAAGCACCCAGACTCAAAACTGATCTAGCTTACTGGAGTCCCTATAACACAAATACCTCCTTGTCACCCAGGCCATGCTTCAGCCTGGGCTGTGAGAGCTGCCTCATGTTCAGTGAGTCTCCTAGTCCAGGACTGCTGGCAGGTGAAGCTGAAGCAACCAGTGGCAGTGTGACCTGCTCTGGCTGTAGCTTTGTAGATCAGGTCTCAGGGCCTCAGATGACTACGAAATCAGTGAAAACTTTTAGGCGTGGAGGCTATACCTGCACAGCTCCTGACTTTACAAGGTAGACCTCTACACTGGCAAGCTGTCTTAACCTGATGCCTGATCCTTATGACAAATACCTGGATCAAACAGGCCAGATCCCACTCAGCAGAAAAAAAGCAAGCAAGTAAGCAAGCGTTTTATGGTTACCTGTTTTTTCCTATCCTCCGCATTAGGAGATAGTTTGTACTCTGTTGGCAGTTCCAAAAGGGGCCATGAGCCCCAGGGAAGCAGTGCTTTTCTTGGAGAGCAGTGCTTCTGAAATGAGAAACAGACAGGAAAAATAAAGACAGGCTAAAACATGCAAGCAAGGAGAGGTTGATAGACCATCTCTCTCTGGTTAAATCACAATGAGTGCCGATTTCATCACATTTAATCACGTACTGGTCAGTTCCAGATCTGAGCTTTCTGTTTTCAAGCACTATTTTCTCAAGGATGCCCTGAAAAGATCAAACTTTTTCAGTTTGAGCAATTGTAAGATTGTTTGGCTCCCTGGGATCCAAAGCCAATGTGGATCTTGCAGTGTTTACAGGAAGCTTTGCTTCTCTGACATATTTTAGCTCCTAGGAGTTATATCCTGTCATTCATACCTGTCCCATTTGCTCACTTCTCAGCAGGGCTTGTTAGCTTGGATGGTGGCTGCATTGATACAGCCACTGAGTTTTTGCTGACTCGGGAGATGACAGAGAAAGCTTTTTCCTGCCTGTGGACATATTTCCAGATAAAACACGAGCAAGTCTTGCTTTGAGATTGTTAAGTTCCCCTAACTCAATGGGTGTCTTATATATTTGAGGTGTCTGAATTGCAATGTGATATGTTGGTTTTACAGAGGAAAAATCTTGGCACAAGTAGAAGGAAATGTGGGGGAATAGGAAGACAAGAGTCTTTAAGAGATGAACTAGTGGGAATTTCTGCTCTGACCTTGAATCCTGTTCCTACACACCTACGTTCCCCAAAAGGTGCTGTGGGGAAACAGGGAAGCAGCTGTGATGGCAGCAACAGGCAGGCACTGTGTGTATAGTGAGGAGCTGAGGAGAGGGTGGTTATGCTCCGTGCTCTTTTAAGACACAGCACACCGGGTAGCCCATGTAAGTGTCACGCTTTTCAGGCATACTCTTGGAAGATCTAGGCACAAGAGCAAGGAGGTGGTTTAGAAATTACTACATATGTCTTCCTGAGATATTTGCACTCCAGGGACCACCCACATCATAGGATACGTTTGAATTGCTCACCAAGCTTTCTGCTGGAGTCAAGATGAAATTGCAGATTCTCTTTTCCCACAGCGCAGGAAAAAATAGCAACTTTCTGAATTATTATTACTATTAACAGAGGCGTTTTTTAAAAATAGGTGCCATTCTTGAAGACCTTTGAAGCTCTGGGGGAAATCTTTCCACCTCTTCAACTCCTTTAACTGCTGGTTACTTAACCCCAGCTTGTAAAAAAAAAATGCCTGGAGGTAAAAACAAGCTCCTCTTTTTTGTGAGCCAGTTTAAGCAAGTTGAGGAAAGGATATGGGAAGGGAGGATGAAATCCCCATTAGGGAAGAAGCCTTATTTTTTACATTTATGTGACAGTGAAATCCTTGTGGATTCTTCTGTGCACTGAGACAATATATTTTGGTTTTAATTGTTTCAGTCAATGTCAATTTTACATCAAACATGCAATAAAGTAAAAATGGCCTTTGGGAAACATCATTGAATCTATTTTGTGCTGCAGTACTGCCAGTGTAAATATCTACTTCTGTTTTGTAAGCTGAAAGCCAAAAGGAGCAAAATTTTCCTTTCAGAGAGACTACTGACCTGTCAGCATCAAAAATATTATTTTTAGCATACAAAAATTGTTTTTCAGTGATTGTAATAACAAGAACCTTTGCAAAATCCATTATTACTCTAGTAAACATTTTCCCTTGGGCAGTAATAGAAGGAAATGTATTAAGAAGTTGGTTGATAGCAACTGGATAAGAAAAAATTATGAAGTATCACAGCTACAGTTTCTGGGATAAAATATATTTTCTTTTTCTTTAAATTATTAAATGTTTACAGTAGCTCAGAGGAAAATATCAAATCTGAAGCATTTTTGTAAATTATAATTTATTTCACTGCTTGCTTTCCAGAATGCTAGAAGATGACCTCAAGTTAAGCAGCGATGAAGAAGAGAATAACCAGGTAAGAACCATTCAACTAACATGTCACTTGTAGCATGTTTCATGTGGAAACTGAGCTACTGCAAATATTTTGCTAATGCTTTTCAAAACATACATAAAGGTTATCAAAATACATGGCAGTACTGTAACTGGAGTAACAGATGTTGCTGCTCAGAGCCAGCCCGTGTGTGCTAACTGCTGGATTGGTGGGGAACAGTCTGCAGTGCTCTTGATTTATTACCTTGATGTGACCCAGAAGGTTTTTGTATCAGCCTCCTCCTGATTTGATTTTGTTTTGTTTTAAAGAGCAGCCAAGGAAGGGAGAATCAGGAATTCTGCATTAAGGATTCAGGCCAAACTTTACTGTCATGAGCTGGCCCCAAGTATTAGCAGCTGGGCTACTTTCCTCTTACCTGCCTAGAGCCTCACCAGCATCCCCCCAGTCCTCACCTCTCCCCTGAGCATTTTCAGTCCTGTCTCTGTGTGGCCCATGTGTGCCAAGAAAGCTGAAGACAGCTGGGAGAAAGCCTTAGCTGTGCATTTGATCCACTCCATAACACAGCAATTAGGGCACTTGCCTGGGTTTTAATGACACCAAACTACTTGGCTGGGAGCAGATATGTCAGCCAAATATTCCGTGTGTTGAGAGATCTGGGTTTGTTGCTGGGGGAAGGTGTCTCCCAATGTTTTTTTTCTAACTATTACAAGCTCACTAGAATAGAGCTGGATCTTGACTTTTCAATGGCCAGCTGACTGCCTCGTTTCCAAGCAGAGTTATGCCATACTCTCTCCTTCTCAGAATACTGTCAGAGGCGATTGGGTTGGGGACGAGAGAGAAGGAGCCTCTTCCCTTTCTCTTGTACTAAAATGCATGCCCTGTGCCTTCAACAGAGCATATGAGGGAAGTACTGCCCCTGGTTGCATCTCACAGATGGATCCAGACTTGGATGTAACAGGGTTTCAAATATGATTATTTCAGTGAGGGGTCACTGGAGCTATCTAGACTTCTGAAATTCAGGATCTTAGACAAATTCTAGGTATGTAGGCATGAAGCTCTTCCAGGGTTTTCTTTAACTCTTGTTATTAGAAGTCTCTGTTTTACAATATATTCCAAACAACAGGTAAATCAAAAACCTTTTAATATTTATACTACACCATTATTTCATCTATTTTGAGCAAAGCTTCTTGGTGTTCAGAAGATTCAGGACATAAATTCAATTATTTACATATTTATAGGATTTCTTTTTGTTTAATGTATTTCATCCTGAAATGCTTCACATTTAATTACTCTTCCTGCTTGTCTAGATAGTTTAAAATACAGTGCATAGACAGCGTAGGGCAAAGGAAAGTGAGGGACAGAAAGTATGTCTGAAGAATAACAATAGCACACCAAAAGGGAGGAGCCAGGGATCAGGAGAGATGGCTTGTCCTTCAGGTTGGAAAGGAGATGGATGTGAGTATGAAACAGTCTGGCAGAGCCAGACAGCTGAAATTCAGGTTTGCTTCATAGCAAGCAGAAAAGGACATGTGAAAATGTTTATCATGTGGGAGATAACATTAGTAAGTTTAAGTGGAGAAGGGATCATGGAAAACAGCTTCTGTTTGGACATACAGACATGGTACCTTCAGTTTAGTGTCAGCACTTACAACTGTTAACATCTTTCGTGCACTTGACTTGTTCAGTATTATGTGTGCTACACAAGGTCTTCGCTGAGTAAGCAGAGTTTTAAAGTACAGCTGGTATAGCCTGGGTCTTTCACCCCAGTGCTCAAACAAGCTTTGCAGAGCCAAGACAGAGTTTGCTACACACACAGCAGAGAGCAGAGCTGAGATCCCATTACTCACTTCTAATCATCACGGGCCCTAGCATGAGCAACCATCGGCAATTACTTTGTGATTTGGTCCCTGTTCCTAGTCACTTTTTTTTCTAACTTGACTGTACAGATAAAAATCTCCTGGAAGCACAGGCTGGCTCCTGCTGTATGAAATGCTTTGTAGAGCCTCAGCTGAGATGTGAAGATTTGCCTAACAAGCAATCCTAGATAAATATGCCTGCTGGATAAACAAAACACTACATTTCCATCTTCCTAGTTGGAAATAGGGTCCAAAAAAAGAATAACACAGGTCCTCTCTGCCAATAAATGCACGGATTATAACATGGACCTGTGCTAAATATCAGTGGGAGACCCCATGTCATTTTACTTTCTAATTCAGAGGCTCTCTAATCTCAGATCTCCTCCTAAGCTTGAGAACAGGAAAGAAAGAAACCAAAGATGAAGGGATAGAAACAGTACATGAGTGATTCCTAGATATTTCTTATGTAATTAACTGACCTTTGAGCAATCAAACTCATTTAGGTAATCCAATCTCTCAAAGAGCTGAAGGTGATCTGTACAAGAACTGCGAAACTTTTAATTTTGCTAATTTCTGAACTGGGAATTTTAGGGGAAAGATTCTGAAAACTTTGGAGGAGATTTTTTTTCCTGTTGGAAATCGCCAAGCAGCGACCGGAAAGTTTCTGAAGTGGTGCAAAGGGAGACAGGTGCCTCTGTGCTCCCAGAGCTGGAATCTGGAGGGCTGTGACTGACCCAGGGAATGTGAGCCATAGATGACGAAGGCCAGATGCAAGACAGAGGCATGATTAAGAGCTTTGGGACCACAGTGGGCAAGGCATTCCCATCCCTTCCCTCCTCATTGGCAATTAAGGTAGTGAGATTCACAGACCCAGGAGAGGCAAAAGAGGCTGTGTTTGAGCTGAGTGTGTGTGCGCCGACAGTAATTACATTATCCACACATATTAGTCTCTTAATTTTAATTACATAAATGTATTTTTCTTCTTTAATGAGCATAGTTTATCCATTTAAACTCATCGTTTCAATTTTACAGGCAGTGATCATAAGATCAAATATGCAGAAGGAAAATTTCCTGTTGGCATATTTTACATCACACAGATTGAAGAAAATGTACTTTTTAATCCCCAATCAATATCTGAAGAGCATGCAATTAACAGATACCAAGGTAGTTAACACAAATCTGCAAGTTAAAGAGCCAATTCATTTTGATTTATAACACATAGAGTAATATTTTCATCATCGTTTCTCCCAGAAAGCATCTGAAGCTTTGTAGCATGAAGATGTCAAAATTGTATTTAAGATTGTTCAGAGTACTGAAGTGTGGTGGTTATTGCCTTTTGGTTCCTTGAAGTGTGGCATAGCACATGAAACAGTCCCCATTTTAATACCCTGCTCTTCTCCGTAGAGGTCACTGGATAACTTAAATCAGCCTTGGGTGAAATATTAAAAGGAGATTGTCAGTTGTAATATGATCAATTCTCTTTTTTCCCACCTACTTGTCCTTTTACAACATGAAAATTTTGTAATAGAAAGTAGTTCTTTTAAGGAGAAAAAGATCTCTGGCATCATTTGCGCAATTCTTGTCAATCAATAGCCAAATAAATTAACTGACTGGTAGGCATACATGGAATAATAATCTAACATATTTTTGCAACCCAAGTCTGCTTCCTTGTATGCATTTTTTCTGCGCGGGATCAGGTTGGTTGCCGCTGAAGTTTTGTGGCTATGAAAATTTATTACCCACAGAGTCAATCTGCATTCTGGCTGCCAAGTCTGAATAAATAGAGTCATTGTGCTTGTCTGGAATATGTAACCAAAGTTCACCGAGTCAGCTTGACTTTCACATCCCATGGGATTCATAAAAGCCAACACCCTGGTATGTGCTCTTGATTCCTGCCAAAATTTTGTAAAATTGTATAAACAGAAGTTGAAGAAGCAATAAGAACACACTCTCAGGGACATGGCTCTGCACTCCAGATCCTGCTGTATCTTGAAAGGAAAGTCCCAATTTTAGTACTTTTTGTTTGCTCTAAATAATTGCATGACTATCTGCCTGCACCAGTACGTAAATGCAGGGGTTGAAGACACCCTCCATGCACAGTACACAGGGAGGCAGTGAACAGTCCCCTTGGGTTCATTAATTTTGCTCATGTGCCCTGTACCAAAGGAAGAGGGAAGGCAGCGTTTGCCTGCAAGTGGCTGCCTGCCTTAAGAAGGGACAGCGACAGGCTGGCCTGTAGGGTCTGAGTGGTGTGAGTGAAACCAGCCCCTCTGCAGGCAAGCCAAGACAAACAGAAAGCCATGTCCCTTCACAGGCGACCCCGGGGGAAGAACAGCCTCAAGAAAGCTCACTAGGAACAGCTTCAGTGTGATAAAATAATAGTCTCAGCATCCTGGTCTGGCTCACCACCCAAAGTTCCACAGGGTGAGAGCAGCCCACCCAGCTTGTGTCTTCCCAGGGGTCCTGGGGCTGCCACCCATCCATAGCAACCTGGGGACAGCCAGGGTGGGCTGCTGGCCCTGGGGGAGCTGTGTGTGTTCCATCATCGCCCTGGCCATGGATGAGATAGAAAATTTTATGATAATTCGAGTTACAAACATACCTCCATAGATGTGTATGTTTCCTCCCCATCGTGTATGTGCTTAGGGGTGACACGGCTCAGCACTGGAAATGCATATTTCTGGCAGGACTCTCTGCAGTGTAGGCATATAGGACCAGCCAAATCCATCCCACTGTTGCAACAGAACAAAAGTTTGTCTACGTTGCCAACAGCAGTGGGGCCAGGTCCCTAAGTAAATAGCATTAGGAAATTATTGAATTTTTTCAGTCATAAAATCATGGTTTGTTTCCTCAGTGGTAGCCAGAAACAAGTGAGAAAGGATGTATGTAAAGAGAATCTTTTTAATGCGGGGTAGGACTTTTCCCTCTTACTTTTGGATATGGACTGACAACAAGTAAAAAGATAAAAATTATCCTGGAATGAATGGTCATGCATCCACCTTCTTCCAGAAGGAATAATTTCTAGCAGAGTCACTATAAGCATTACTTCAGCATATGAAATGCAGAATATTCCAGTTAATCTGAAGCCATCTGTAATGAATTTTGAGGTAAATTAAAAAAGGGGTAAAGTGGCTATGAGCTTTCTTTGCAGAAGACCTCCTCTGTTAA